AAATAAGGTTACGTCTCTGGAATTTACTTCAAAATAATACAGGAGCAGGGGTGAGAAATTTGGAGATGAAACAAGATTTGCTATAAATTAATAATTATTAAAGTTGAGTAAGGAGAATGAGGGGAACATAACCTTATTTCTTTTTGTGCACTTGAAGTTTTCCAAATGAAAAGATTTTAAGACATCACTAAATATCAAACCCAGAGTTTGCAGATCTCAAGTTCATTCTCTCTGGGACACACGACACACATTATATTTTCTGGAAATTGAAGAGTAATTTGCAAGCCAGATAATAAATCAGGAACTTAAGCTTTATTTAAAAAGTAACAGTTGCTTGTTTTATTACCTCAAATGGTACTGAATCTGTATAAAGCTTGGTTTTGATATTTATTAAATGATGCTAGTCTGTGCTCTGTTGAATAAGAATGAGGATAAAATAGATTTTTTATTTTTTTGCAGTTTTTGGCTGGGGCCAGGATGGAACCCACCACCTCCGGTATATGGGGCCAGCGCCCTACTCCTTTGAGCCACAGGTGCCACTAAAATGGATTTTTAAAAATGCTCTAATGTTACTCCATTTAATTGTGCCTTCGAAAGGACTTATGTCTTTTTGTTTTTAAGAAGATTGTTCAATATTCTGAACATTTTGTATTGAATATTTATAGAGCTAGATAAGAATGATCATTTTGTTCATGAGACACAGTGGATTTAGAGAATTTGTGAACTAAGCTTTAATGTGATTGAACTTTAGCCAGGGCAAAGAAAAACCTTTATCTACAGGTAATGAGAACCACTTAAAGTTGAATGACTTTATGGCTCTGTCTGACTCAGAGCCTTCACCTGTTTACTGTAAAAGTCACCTGCTTAATGAAAAGATTTTTTAAGAAATAGAACACACCTTAACTATACCATGTTTATAGTTTGCAATATAAAGTTATTCCACAGAAGACATTACACTAAATGAAAGAAAACAGAAACAAAATGCTATATACGATACAATTCCAATTTTATGGCATTCCCAAATGGCAAAGTAGAGGGGTAGAAAGCCAAGCAGCAGTTGTCAGGGACCAGGAGTGGGGAGAGGAGACTGGTGGCAAAGGGGCCTAAGGGCACTGTTTGGGGTGATGTGTTCTTTATCTTCTTTGTGGTAGTGGTTACACAGACTTATGTTTGCCCTAATTCAACTGAAGATAAGAAAGTATGAATTTACTGCATGAAAATTATATGATTTTAAAAACATATACATATATACATGTACGTATATCTATCTATCTATCTATCTATCTATCTATCTATCTATCTATCTATGGAGAGAGGGAGAAAGAAAGAGAAAGAGATAAATAGATAGAGTTTTGGAAACAGACCTCTGTGTCAATGAGTGCACAGAGGCCATGAACTCACCTGAATGTTGACAGGAAGGCCCAGTCCTTGATCGTCAACCACAGCCATGGTCATGATGGTCTGAATCATCAAGGCAATGAAAGTGTTGATTCCAAACACCAGGGCATAGCGCTCCACACTCAGATGAACTGCAATCTGAAATCTATCATTGCACACAGAGAAAGAATTTGGAAGAACACAGATGTGGCTTTTTAATACAAAGCAGTGAATTGTATGGTTCCCAAGGATTTGCTTTGTTGAGGAAGCCTATGTTTCTGTGGACAGGTTTCTAAAAGCTGTTCTGACAGAGGTGGCCTCAGGAAATAAAGGTAAATGGGAGCGTGAAATGTATTTTAACATGCCATGGGATGTGATAGAGTATGCCGAGAATTTAAAAATAGCTAACCATTCTTAAAATTAACCCAAATATTCCATATACTCTGCAAATAGAAAATACTGAACATTATTTGAGATCAATAATGGTATAGTAGCCATTGTTTAAATGTAGGCATATTCATAAGTAGAAATAGATTCATGGGATGAATTTTTATTATTTGGAGATTTGATCACTGGATCCTTGATTGTCTAAATTAGCAGTTTCAGAGTCTAAATGGTGATTTTTTAAAATTTATTTTATTGTTGGGGATTCATTGGGGGTACAAGAAACCAGGTTTCACTAATTGCATTTGTTAGGTAAAGTTCCTCTTACAATTGTGTCTTGCCCACAAAAGGTGTGGCACACACCAAGACTCCACCCCCCTCCCTCCTTCCCTCTCTCTGCTAATCCCTTCCCCACTCCTCCCTCCTTCTTCCTCTCTCTGCTCACCCGCTCCCCTTGTCATTAATTGTCCTCATATCAAAATTGAGTACATAGGATTCATGCTTCTCCATTCTTGTAATGCTTTAGTAAGAGTAATGTGTTCCACTTCCATCCAGGTTAATACAAGGGCTGTAAAGTCTCCATTTTTAAAAAATGGCTGAATAGTATTCCATGGTATACATATACCACAGCTTGTGAATCCATTCCTGGGTTGGTTGGCATTTAGGCTGTTTCCACATTTTGGTGATTGTAAATTGAGCTGCAATAAACAGTCTAGTGCAAGTGTCCTTATGATAAAAGGATTTTTTTCCTTCTCGGTAGATGCCCAGTAATGGGATTGAAGGATCAAATGGGAGGTCTAGCTTGAGTTCTTTGAAGGTTCTCCATACTTCCTTTCAAAAACATTGTATCAGTTTGCAGTCCCACCAGCAGTGTAAAAGTGTTCCCTTCTCTCCACATCCACGTCAGCATCTGCAGTTTTGAGATTTTGTGATGTGGGCCATTCTCGCTGGGGTATCTCAGGGTGGTTTTGATTTGCATTTCTCTAATAATTAGGGATGATGATCATTTTTTCATATGTTTGTTTGCCATTCATCTGTCCTCTTTAGAGAAGTTTCTATTCATGTCTCTTGCCTATTGATATATGGGATTGTTGGCTTTTTTCATGTGTATTAATTTGAGTTTTCTATAGATCCTAGTTATCAAGCTTTTGTCTGATTCAAAATATGCAAATATCCTTTTCCATTGTGTAGGTTGTCTATTTGCTTTGGTTGTTGTCTCCTTAGCTGTACAGAAGCTGTACAGAAGTTTAATTAAGTCCCATTTGTTTATTCTTGTTGTTGTTGCAATTGCCACGGCAGTCTTCTTCATGAAGTCTTTTCCCAGGCCAATACCTTCCGGTGTTTTTCCTCTACTTTCTTTGAGAATTTTTATTGTTTCATGCCTTAAATTTAAGTCCTTTATCCATCTTGAATCAATTTATGTGAGTGGGGAAAGGTGTGGGTCCAGTTTCAGTCTTTTACATGTGGATATCCAGTTCTCCCAGCACCCTAAATAGTGATTTTTTTTCTCTGCAAATTATTTGTCTTGACAGTTGAGTCAATCTGGCAATTAATTCATTTGAAATAATTGTACTAGGTTTTTAAAGTTAGTCAAAACTGATATATATTCATTAGAGTTTTTCTATGTAATTTAGCTAGAACTAAATCTGAGTCTAAAAATATGAAACCAAATGAAAAAAATTTTTTTAAATTGTGAAAAAATTAATTAATTCAGGTTCATGTGAGGGTACAAGCAACTAGGTTACAATGTTTGCATTTGTTAGGTAGAGTCAGTCTTGGAGTTGTGTCCCGTACCCAAGTGGTGTACCATATAACCTTACATTGTACCCATTACGTGGGAGCACACCCATCCTCCTCCCTTCTCCTCTTTTCTCTCCCCCCAACTTGAATTGATTTGAGTTTTCTCCATGTGGGCATGTATTAGATTGTTTGCTGGCTTCATATTAGTGTTGAGTACATTGGATATTTGCGTTTCCATTCTTGTGATACTTTACTAAGAAGAATTTTGTGTTTCAACTCTCTCCAGGTTAATACAAGAAATGTGAAGTCTCCATCTTTTTAATGGCTGAATAGTATTCCACAGTATACATATTGCACAGCTTATTAATCCATTCCTGGTGGAGGGCATTTAGGTTGTTTCCACATCTTGGCAATTGTAAATTGAGCTGTGATAAACAATGTAGTGAAAATGTCCTTATGATAAAATGACTTTTTTTCTTCTGAGTAGATCCTTGGTAATGAGACTGAGGGATCAAATGGGAGGTCTAATTTGAGTTCTTTGAGAATTCTCCATACTTCTTTCCAAAGAGGCTGTATTAGTTTTCAGTTTTCTGAATGAGAAGTTTTAACTATTTTTATATCCCCTTCAAAAATCTTCACATTATAAAACAAATATAAGTATTTTTTTTTTTTTTGAGTTGGAGCCTCAAGCTATCCCCCTGGGTAGAGTGCTGTGGCATCACAGCTCACAGCAACCTCCAACTCCTGGGCTCAAGCGAGTCTCCTGCCTCTGCCTCCCAAGTAGCTGGGACTATAGGCACCCGCCACAACGCCCGGCCATTTTTTGGTTGCAGCCATCATTGTTGTTTGGCGGGCCCAGGCTGGGGATTCTAACCCGCCACCTTAGGTGTATGTGGCTGGCGCCTTAGCCGATTGAGCCACAGGCACCGAGCCAAATATAAGTATTTTAGAAGTATGTGATTCAATGAAAATTTATTATTTCCATGCAAAAAATTACCAAGTACACTTGAGAAAACCCATAAATAACACTAGGTCCCACACAGTGAATGTGACATGTGGTCCAAATAGGACTTGTAATTTTAGGTATTTCTTACTCAGAAAACAGTTTTCCCCTGAGCAAATGTTGTATTAGATTGATTCTTTTGAAACCTAGATTAAATCAAATGACAGATTTCTTTTTAGTATGCAGATTATTCCAAGTTGAAATCTTGGTTCAATCTTTACAGATGCCTAAACAGCTTGATAGTGATCACTGGTTTTGGATAAGACCTATATATGTAGTGGATCAGATAAAAACACAGTTTTGATGGCAGGCTCAGCATGGCATTGAACCCTAAGATTTTCAGTCCAAATCCAAAAATGATTTCCAAGGTACTTGAAATTACATGTACTCTGACTATTTAAACTCTTACTTTGAAGCTCTTTCTGGGTCATTTCACAGTTGTATCTAGTTGGTCACTATGGAGACTTTGAGCTACCATGCCCAGAACATAGCCCAAGACCAGCAATTCTTGAAAAAAGAATTGCTGTATTTCTGTTCTTCCATCAGGCATTGAACACTAAATACAGATGCACTTCTGAGCTAGAACTACTTTGAAATTTTATTTGGTCACTTATGTACTATGTATTATGGGATTATAGAATTGGTACTTCCTCAACTTAAAGGAACATTTTTTAAAGCCTTAAATAAAACCCATTAGTTTATGCCTGTATAACAATGAAATGGTTAAGTAAAAGATTCAGTAGCTCAAAGATTTTTTTTTTTCATAGTGTATTTCCTCATTTTTTTTTTTCCCCTGAGAAATACTAATCAAGTGCCTACCATGGAACAAGAATAAAAGTAAAGGCCAGCAGCATGGTAGTGTACAAGTTAGGCAGTGAGGACACACAGGGATTGTATTACATTAGACAATAATTATCTGGTACTAGATAATTGCTGTGACTAATTTTTAATTGAATTTAATGGTTTTTATATGATGAAAAATAGAAAGTAAATATCTTTTTAGGTAAGAATCACAAATTATTTTGTGTGAACTTCTGTTATCTGATGATAGAAATCATGGACGGTACAATCTTAAAAATTCCTCCAAACCTGAATACTAACCCTTTACATAGAAAGAAATTTATTCTCACTTGCTAGTTTTATAATTTACCTAGAAGTTAAAGTAAGTACCAGCTGTGATTGAAGTTACCGAGATCAAGTTCACATACACAAGAAAATGATATATTTTTCTGAGAAAATTATATTTTATCAGTATGTTGAATTTGATATGTAAATGATAATTTTATTTAGTGTCAAAGTTCACATCTATTTGGTCAAGTTCCCTTTTTATTAAATCTCCATAGACATTAAATAAAAATATTTATTTATTTGTCTTCTGACACTAAAATACTAAATTTATTCAGTCCTGCTCAATTAATTAAAAAAATGTAACCAAAAGTAATTGTGTCTGAAATAATTCATCTCTTCATTGAACTTTCTGATCATCTGACTGAATTGACAAATTGGATAAAAGATGATTGTACAGGCCTTAGGTAGAAAGCTGTGAACACCCTTTCTGGAAAAACATTCACAGTTAGATTATAAGTCTCATCCTCATGTAGGCCCAGTAGAATCTCAGCGTTCTCACTATTCATGTGGCTTAACCCTTTCATACTTTAAGTCTATAATAAAACATTCTAAGCATTTCTTCTTTTTATTCAAAATTTTAATTTTAATCATTATGGGTACATGATAATGCATAAATCTGTAGTGTACATGTGATGGTCTGCTCCAGGTATACCCTGTGTATTAATCAAATCAGGGTAATTGGGGTATCCATCACCTCAAGCATTTATCATTTGTGTTAGGAACACTCCAATTCTATTCTTTTAGTTATTTTAAAGCATACCCTAACTTGTTATTGACTACAGCCACTTTGTTGTGCTATTAAATATTATTCATTCTATTTTTACACCCATTAACCATTCCTCCTTTATACCCCCTCCTCACTACCCTTCCCACCCTCAAGTAACCATCATTCTACTTTGTCACCACAAGGT